AAACCATTCTAAAATTTAACATACATTACCTCATTTTAATGTTCTGACAACCCTGAGAGGCAGACTGCTATTCTAGTCAGCAATTTACTGATGTGCACACTGATGCATAGTGTGGTTGAAGATGTGAAGCAAGGTCACAGAGCAAGTAAGCAGAAAATCCGAGATTTAAATTTGGATCATCTAGTTCCAGACTCTATGATCTTACTCAAAACACCATGAAGCCTTCTTTCAAGGAGTTTGCAGATTAGCAGTATACTTCATTCAACACATATTTTTGAAGTATGGGAATCATGAGAAATCAGACAGAGAAAAGAAGATCTGCTTAATACCATAAAATTTAGTTATATATTTCAGAGTAAGTGTTTTATTATATCACAGAAAGATTTTTTCATTAGAAATAAACACAGAATAAATCTGTTATATGACTAAAAACAAAGGTGCTTTCACCTAGTATGAATATAATAACTTTGCATAAAATGGATGATAAGATAGATGACAGGCTTTCAAGCCAAGTGTTGCTGGTTTTGGTTTTAAAGGAGGGAAATTGTTATCCTGACCACTATCACTCTACAGTTACAGAAATTTTAAATATATTTCCTGCTATTTCAAGTCACAATAAGAAATGCTGCCCTTGGGATGATCAAATGCTTTTTCTGAGGATAGAATAAGTATACATTTTGGGTCACTTCTGATGATCTAGGGAGTCTTAAGTACCTTTTATAAGTACTGCCTTTTACCATCAGCTATTTGTTGGGGTTGGTGACTAGATAAGTACGTATGATGTGTGAGGTTCAGAGTTGAAAAAAGGATGAAGGCACCTGCAACAAAAACAGTGTTCCTATACATAAAACACAATCACTTTGAAATAAAGAAATTTACTGGCACACTTGTGACACTTTGTATTTTATTCTAGTGGTTGTGCCACAGAGGACTTATAGATACAGAACATCTCCTTTATCTCATTCTAGTTCTTAAATATAGCAATATTAAAACAAAAGTTATGATGACTGTGAGTGGTGGTGAACACACTCACACAAGAGGATGAGGCATGAGGACTGCAAGTTTGAGGCCAGCATGAGCTACTGAGCGAGACTATGTACAAGAACAAGAACAATGAACATATGATCTGAATCTGGGCTCTTTTTCCTTCTTCCTTAAGATCATTTAAAGTTTTCTTTAGTGTAGGTCAGATGATGGCAAGTTCTTCTCATTTATTTATTTCAAAATGTGTTTATTTTACCTTTGTCTTGAGAGACTTTCACTAGATGTAGAGTTCTAGGTTGGTAAATATTTTACTTTACACACTGAATATGTGACTTCAGTGTCTTCTGTTTCACTGAGAAGTTGGGTATCAGTCTAAGTGACAATATTTCCTCTTTTGGAGGAAAAGATAGTCACTTCAGTGAATGGTGTCAGGAAACTGGATATCCACATGGAGAAGAATGAAATGGTCTTATGCAAAGGATCACATCACATACAGAAATGAACTGAAAATAGAATAAAGACTTAAATATAAGTCTGAAATTGTAAAACCACAAGAAGAAATTATGATGGAAAACTTTCACAATATTGGTCTGGGCAATGATTTTCTGAATATGATCTCAAAAGCCCAGGAGACAAAAGCAAAAATAGGTAAATGGGATTGCACCAAACTAAATAGCTTCTGCATAACAAAGGAAACAGATAAAACAATTTAGGAATTGTGAGAATATTTGCAATATGTGTTAAAAGCTTCATTGCAAGCACTCATAAAACAACTCAAAAGCAAGTAAATAACCCAACTTGAAACATTAAAATGGGCAACAGATACATGAAAAAAATGCCCAATATGATTAATCGTATGGGCATGCAAATTAAAACTACAACGAGATACTACCTCACATCTGTTAGAATTTATATAATAAAATTATGAAAGTTAAGCATTGACTAGGATGTAAAGAAAAGAAAATCCTGTAATATGATGGGTGAGAATATAAATGACACACACCATGGAAAACAATATGGTAGAGGTTCCTCAAAGATCTAAATCTAGAATTGCCATGTGATCTGGCAATCTCACTTTTGAGTACATATTCAAAGGAACTAAAATTAGTATATTGAAGAGACAGCTGCATTTCTATGCTCACCACATCATTATTTATAAGACCAAGATACAGAATCAACCTATGTTATCCATCAATAGATAAGTAAATAAAATGTGAGATACTCACATTCATACACACACACACACACGAATACTATATATGCATAAAAAGCACAGAATTCTGTCTTTTGCAACAACATGGATAAACCTGGAGGATATTAAGCTAAGTGAAATAGGCCATACACAGAAAGAAACATATATGATCTCATTTTCATGTATAATCTAAAAAGATCAAACTCACAGAAGTAGAAAGTAGAATGGTGGTTACCAGAGGCTAGGAAGGGTAAAGCGAAAGGGAGATGTTTGGACAAAGGGTATAAAGTTTCCGTTAGACAGGAGAAACAAGTTTTTGAGATCTACTGTATAACATGGTGACTCTGGTTATTTCATAATTTTTGACAGAACGTATTTTAAATATTCTCAAGAAAATTAGGTGATGCATATATTATGTTTGATTAATCATCAGTGATTCCTACATGTGTGTACATATAGATATGAAAACACACTGTGTCCCACAACTATTTGTCAATAATACAAGAATACAGGATAGGAAATTCAGCCTGTATAGTATCTTTAAACTTATGAGGAGGTCAAGCCACCATTCACATGGATAGCTTCTCGGACCTCTTTGCCACTTACACAGCATATGCACTATTACTAGAGACAAGTGGAGGTGGCATGTGGTTTGGTTGCTTCAATACAGTTTTCCTTTCAGTCTTACTGTTTCACCTGTTGAGATGTAAGGTCAGTATCCCAACTCACAGCTCTCCTAGTCAAGACACAAATGATGGGGTTTTATGGTAAACTTAAAAAACAGTTTGCAACTGGCACATAACATTCTGTATTTATCTAATATATGTCCATGGAAATAATGCTTTAAGAAAGTAACCCAAAGCAGGCCTATATGTATTTAAGGTCCAGCAACAACATTAACATTTACTCACATGGTATATTTCACATCAGTCATTCTCTGCAGTTCAAAGGCTTACTGAATTTACTCCTTGATGTCTTTCATCAACTTTGTAACGTTCTTAAAAATAATCTCTTCTAATTTTTGCTCCTATTGAATTATATCTCTTTCCTTTTAGATCTCCTCTTGAAAATATTTAATCTTCACACTTAACCTTTTATCTCTTTGGTATTTTTCCATCATTTTGTCTCTCCATGCATTAAAACATATAAAAAGGATACAAAACTGCATGGCCCCTATTGACACTTTGTCAAATTATGTTAAAATGCCTGAATGCATCTGTTTATCAGTTCAGAACCAATTTTTTCCTCTTTTATTATTATTTTTTTTGGTGGTCCTGGTGTTTGAACTCAGTGGTTAAGTAGGTGCTCTACCATTTAAGCCACTTTGCCAGCCCTTTTTTGAGTTGTGTATTTTTGAGATAGGATTTTGTGAACTATTTGCCTGGGATGACTTCAAACCACAATCCTCCTGATCTCTCTCCCGAGAGATTACAGGATTACAGGTATAAGCCACTGGCACCTGGCCAGAAACAAACTTTTAAAGGAACTTGTTAAGGTCAGTAAAAGCCTTTTCCAAACTCATAACTGAGAATTTTCTTGGAGTGCTTCCTTTTCTTCTCCTGCAGTTACCTTTCCTTTTGCTCTTTCTGCCAGGTGTTTTATTAGGAAATAGGAAATTTTCAGCTTCATTATAATTTAATGGTATCACCAGTGTACATGCAGAGATCATCACGAACTGACACACTATCACCAGAGCACATGTACTTGGTTGATTGAAACTACCTACCCTCTCATTACCAAAACTGGAGGTTGAGTCACAGAATTTTTAATAAGACAGGAATGGAATGTATCTGATTACAGTTAAACCTTACCTGGAACTAAGATATTTTAAATTATATATGAAGTCAGAATTTTTTGTATTTAAAATTAAATTAGGGGTGGAGATATAGCTCAGCTGTGGAACACATTCAAGGCCCTGGTTCAATCTCTAGCACCAAACAAAATGAAACATCCCTTCCCCAATTTGTAACAACTAACACCTAAAAAGCTATACTCCCACTCTATCCTCCCATCCCCTAATGGAGATTGAATTTAGGGCCTTATTCTACCACTTGAGCCATATCCCCAGTCCTAAATAAAGATTGGTGTTTTTTTTTCCTTTTCTGTTACTAGAGATTGAACTCAGAGCCTTTTCTACCATGTGAGCCATGCCCTAAGTCCTCTAAAAGGCTATGTTTAAAAAGATGATATTTACATGAATCAAGATAGTAAGAGCTATTGCTCTCAAGAGTAAAGAGCTATTACTACATATAATTCATGGAAGAGTTTATATTGTAAAATTTATGAATAAGCAAAAGCTTGAGAAAATGTTTTTTAAACAACCTAGTGGTGTAATTTTCTTGTTTATACGTTCTTGCATAAGTGTGTTTGTAAAGAGCAATTCTACCTTAAAACAGCATTTAATTAGGTGTAAATACGAGCCATTCTTCTTTACCTACATCACATGTTTTCTTCTTAAATTCCACTCAGCTGAATGCTTACTATGCACTACTGCACATGATCATTAGGGAAATGAGACAGAGTGGGTGCCCAGGAGAAACTTCCAACATTAAAGGAGAGATAGAGAAACAATGTGATAATGGTTATAAGTGAGTCATGCACAAGACACTGAGTACATAGGAGCGACACCCTGTCAGCATGATACTGTTTTATTAATGACATTTCAATTACTATCTAAATTCCTGTTTCCTCTGGTGAATCAACACAGAGGCAAAAAAAAATGCCTATCATATATTAATTTATATCTTAAAATTTAACTATCTTTGGATACATAAAGCAGTATATGAGATATAAAGTTAAAAAAAAAAAACAGACGAAAACTTACCCCATCTGGTAGTGCCCTCCAGCACACAGCACTAACGAACTCATTTGTATCATCTTCTTTTCGGTCTTTATCCAGAACACTTTTAACTGTATCAAACTTAAAAGTTAGCAAAGTCTTAGATAGTCCTTTATAGTACAGGTAGAGGGAGTTGTTCTCACTTCCTGAAAATAAATAGTAACTTTTTTTTAGAATAGTATAATTTGAAATTAGAATATGACAAAAAAATATTTTTGAGATAGAGCCTTACTAAGTAGTCAAGGTTGGCCTTGACCTTGATTCTTTTGCATTGCCTCAAGTGCTGGGGTTACAAGTATGAACAACCACACCCAGCCAGAATAGCACATTTAAAAAGAAATTATCACTCAAAATTTTTGCTGAGCGTTCAATAGTCTTTTATGGTCAAATGAGAAAGACTAGATCTAGATCACAGGACCAGATGGAAATTACATGAGAAAAGGATTCTTGGACAAAAGAAATGGTTTACTAATCTAAAGCAACAACCAATGTTAAATGATATAACAATATTGATAATTCTAGGGTTGAAATTATTAGAATTGATAGTAGACGTCTATAGAGCCAGAATTTTATTATAATAAGAATCTTAAATTAATTTTGAAAGATTACTACATACAGAGAAAATGAAAGCTGCAATTTTTATAAAGAAAAATTTGAATAGCCTACACAATTTATTTCCCATTATCCAGCAAAGCATTACTCTATTAGATGAGTAGTCTATAGACCAGTCTATAAAGCAGTCTGTCAAGGTAGGATAATTGTGGTATTTACATTCATACATGTGAGGAAAATTCAGTTCACTGAATAAAGGCCAAGTCATTTAAAAATGTTGAGAACTCAGATGTATCAGAACATTTGAATAATATGAAGTTTGATTTTTCTACTTCTGATTTAAATTTCTACAAATTATCTACAATAAAAGCCCCAGAAAAAACAGGTCCATGCCATTCAAACAGAGTATTTAATGAGGAGAACTCCAGATAGGGGAAAGTAAATATTAAGCTTAAAAAGAACAAATGTCTTCTTGGAATATCAGTAGAAATTAATAGCTTCTGCCTTATATATAATATTTATAAATATTATATTGTAACAGAATAACTACAAAACACAGTTAAAGTTTTTATGCAAAATCATGTATCCAGAGCTTGTGTTCATTGAAAAAGGAACAGACTAATGCTCTTCCAATACAACCTGAGGAAAACTTCACAAGCCTATTCTACTTCCAACGTACATACCATTTCTCCACTGAATTCAATTACAATTACAGATATCTGTTTTAAAATTCCTAAAAAAGATGGTTTCACTTACCACAAGCTATATAATCTCCATTGGAAGCGAGGCCTACAAAGTTTTTTTCATTGATATGCCCCTTGAAGGAACGTAGACAGTATGGCTTCCCTACATTCCAGAGTTTTAGCTGGCTGTCTGTTGAGCTGAGATAAACACAGAGTTAGACCATATTTTAGTTTTCATGGTATGAAACTCATCACCACTACTAATTAAAGGCAATCCAGTTTTGTGGTTAAGAATGAAAACTCTGGAGCCAGACTGTCTGAGTCTGCCTCCTCATTGGCCTTAGTTTTTCATGGGTTAAATGTGAAACTTAGTGATTACTACCTTACAGAATTAAATGAAGCCAATGATATACTGTGAAAATTAAATTCATTCAAAATGCTTTCAATAATGCCTGGATATGCAGAAGTGATCAATATGCATTAATGGCATCAATACCATCATACCACCACAATCAAACAGTAAGACTGCTCTACTTGGAGTTGTATTTAATTTTAGGGAATGCATTTGTTTCTCTTGCTTCAATTTACTTTTCAACTATTAAGTTACATTGATATACTAATATAAACTATTTTCACAGTGAGGGATATGGTTGAGAGGTCTATTTATAAAGCAATTTATCTTGATGAAAGAATACATAAATACAATTATTCATCAAAAATAATTTTGTATAAAAATCACTGGTAATCCTGTCATATAATGTTAGGACTTTTAAGAAAACAACAATGTTTTTCACTGATTGTATTATTTTTTTACAAAAATCAGATCATACTATACATATCATTTTGCATACTGCCTCCCCAGAATTAATAACTTGTTCTACATTTTTTCTGTAAAATAAATGTTCCAATATATTAATGACTACAATAAATCATCTGTTTCCTTACTATAATGTTCACTGAAGAGCACACCATGCTAAAGGTTTTACTTTATTTAAAGATTTACAAAATAACGTAAGTACTATTATTAGCGCCATTTTGGAGATGAGAAATGAAGCTCTACCGGGATCAGGACATTTCCAAGGTACCACAGCTAATAAATAGCGTAATCAAGATTCAAACCACCTAATTTCAGAAGATGATCTCCTAACTCTTTAAGACATTCATTTCAATTTGTGTTGCTCAATGATGTTGCATGGGATACACCTTTACATTTTAAAAATATTTTGTTAGTTTTAGTCTTTCCAAATATAAATGAATTTATTCTATATACTGCAAAGGTCTAAATCCTGTTCAGAAAAAAAAAAACCAAAAACACTGTGATTTACAAACACTAAAAAGGAAATAAATTGATTAAGATATGTAAAATACAGGCCTACTTTAATAAGGTCAACTAAAATTTCCAATTTATGCAATTCAATTAAGCACACATTTCAATTAATGAAGTCAAGATAACTGATTAAACATTTATAAATATGAAATTAAATAAAAATATTCTTGCCATGCAAACAATTACCTATATTTGACTCTGAATATTTAAATTACTTACTGCCCATTATTGTAACTACTAAAGATGAGATACATTTCAACTGGTACCACTTAATTTAAAGTTGCAAATTAATTACCCACAGTACCTCCCCTTAGAAACTCAGTTCCAACTTTATTTTTTGTCCTCTTTTGCAACTCATTCAAACTGCCTTGCTAAATTAATTCAATTTGCCAAGTTCTTATTTAGAGCAACCAGTGTGAAGACACCAAATATAAGGCACTGGCATTAATAATCTCCTAAAACAGAGAAGAAATCAAGTAAAAAAGAAGAAAGCAATGTATTATTAAGCTTACGAAGAGATAGTAAATATAAAAAAGAGAGACATTAAGAATTTACCACATAATATACAGTGAAGAGAACAAGGAGAGAGATAACCAAAATATGGGATGATCTATGTTAGAAGAATAGCTTTGCCAATATTTTGACAGTTGAAATTTACTTACCTAACTGTCATCTTCTTACTTTCAAACAATAAAAAAGGCAACTAAAAAACTTATGTTTCTAGTCCAGAAGGCTTTTCAAAGAATAGCTGTCAGGTATAAATAGCACCATGTAGAAAAGCTCTCTTCAAACATATTTAAAATCAATAAATTATTAAAACAAAAAATAAGTCTATGACTCTATACTGCAAGTTGATATGTAATAACATATTGGTTGACTTTAACAAATAAACTACTTCTCATTCTATTGCATCAACTATGTTGTTTCCCTTTTAGGGAGAAGCAGTAACAGAAATCCAATTTGAAGTTCTAATATAAATAAGCTTGGGAGTATTAGATAAGGGGGCCACATTAAAAACTAGTATTTACAGGATTTTACTTACAAATAACATATAGAAGTAAGAAATACAGATTGGAATATACATCTGTTTTAAATGAACAGGACATAAAAACCTACTATTTAAGAAAAATTATATACAATTCAATGTTATTCTCTACATACACCTATGATTACTTAACAAACTGGTAATTGATGTTAGAGCTCTATATTAAGCTCGCCCTCTTGGAGAGTAATACTCACGCAGAGACAATTTCCTCACCACTCACAAACTTTGCATAAGAGACTGCTTTTCTGTGTCCCTTGAACACCATGATTGGCTGTTTAGTGTTACGAAGATCATAGTAGTGGACACAGTGATCTAAAACAAAACAAGATGAGATAAATGTAGTGAGTGGAGAAATGGAAAGCAAAGCTAATTTTAACTGGTTTCAATGTTTTTCATTAAATGTTTCAAAGACAATGTCAAATCTCTAACAAGGAGATGCAAAATGGAGGCAAGGTAAGACCCTAAGCAATTAATTATCTTTCTACAGAAATGGTAGACTTTTTATAGGCCTGGAAACTTAAAAACAAAACAAAAAAGCCTGTAATTAAATACTTAGAATTACATTACTTTGTGAAGTGGTGACTCATTTTCAGCCAAATATAAACCAGTCCATTCTACTGTTATTACGCCATTTATATTGCTATTCTGAATTTTCTTGATTTTGAACACTTATTGCATTTAGAATTTGAATTTATAGTTGTTTAAAAACAGCATGGTACTGGCACAAAAACAGACATGAAGACCAGTGGAACAGAATAGAGGACCCAGATATGAAGCCACACAACTATAAGCAACTTATCTTTGACAAAGGAGCTAAAAATATACGATGGAGAAATAGCAGCCTCTTCAACAAAAACTGCTGGGAAAACTGGTTAGCAGTCTGCAAAAAACTGAAACTAGATCCATGTATATCACCCTATACCAAGATTAACTCAAAATGGATCAAGGATCTTAATATCAGACCCCAAACTCTTCAAGAAAGAATAGGAAATACTCTGGAGTTAGTAGGTATAGGTAAGAACTTTCTCAATGGAACCCCACCAGCACAGCAACTAAGAGATAGCATAGATAAATGGGACCTCATAAAACTAAAAAGCTTCTGTTCATCAAAAGAAATGGTCTCTAAACTGAAGAGAACACCCACAGAGTGGGAGAAAATATTTGCCAACTATACATCAGACAAAGGACTGATAACCAGAATATATAGGGAACTTAAAAAACTAAATTCTCCCAAAACTAATGAACCAATAAAGAAATGGGCACGTGAACTAAACAGAACTTTCTCAAAAGAAGAAATTCAAATGGCCAGAAAACACATGAAAAAATGCTCACCATCTCTAGCAATAAAGGAAATGCAAATTAAAACCACACTAAGATTCCACCTCACCCCTATTAGAATAGCCATCATCAGCAACACCACCAACAACAGGTGTTGGCGATGATGCGGGGAAAAAGGAACTCTCTTACACTGTTGGTGGGAATGCACACTAGTACAACCACTCTGGAAAAAAATTTGGAGGCTACTTAAAAAGCTGGACATCGATCTACCATTTGATCCAGCAATACCACTCTTGGGGATATACCCAAAAGACTGTGACACAGGTTACTCCAGAGGCACCTGCACATCCATGTTTATTGCGGCACTATTCACAATAGCCAAGTTATGGAAACAGCCAAGATGCCCCACCACTGACAAATGGATTAAGAAAATGTGGTATCTATACACAATGGAATTTTATGCAGCCATGAAGAAGAACGAAATGTTATCATTCGCTGGTAAATGGATGGAATTGGAGAACATCATTCTGAGTGAGGTTAGCCTGGCCCAAAAGACCAAAAATCGTATGTTCTCCCTCATATGTGGACATTAGATCAAGGGCAAACACAACAAGGGGATTGGACTTTGAGCACATGATAAAAGCGAGAGCACACAAGGGAGGGGTGAGGATAGGTAAGACACCTAAAAAACTAGCTAGCATTTGTTGCCCTTAACGCAGAGAAACTAAAGCAGATACCTTAAAGCAACTGAGGCCAATAGGAAAAGGAGACCAGGAACTAGAGAAAAGGTTAGATCAAAAAGAATTAACCTAGAAGGTAACACCCACGCACAGGAAATCAATGTGAGTCAATGCCCTGTATAGCTATCCTTATCTCAACCAGCAAAAACCCTTGTTCCTTCCTATTATTGCTTATACTCTCTCTACAACAAAATTAGAAATAAGGGCAAAATAGTTTCTGCTGGGTATTGAGGGGGGGGAGAGGGAGGGGGCGGAGTGGGTGGTAAGGGAGGGGGTGGGGGCAGGGGGGAGAAATGAACCAAGCCTTGTATGCACATACATATGAATAATAAAAGAAAAATGAAAAAAAAAAAGAGTTAGAAGCACACAAAGATGCTCTACAAGTTTACATTTGTATGTGTGCTATAATATAATAAAAAGTTAGGTCAGTGGAGGAGTACCCAATAATTTTCTTTAAAAAGGGGAGATGTATTTATATTTCTGAGCAACTGCCATAATATTCTAAATACTCTTAATAATTTGAAGAGTTAGGATATGGTCCTATTGCTATTTCTTTTCTTTCCCCCTAAACTTTTTAAAATTTATTTTTCTTTTTAAATATTATCATATAATAGTTGTATAGGGGGATTCATTTTTATATTTACATATTTGCTTACAATATATCTTAGATTTACCCCCTCCATCATTCTCCTTTTCCCTTAAACTTTTAATGTGAAAAACTTCAAACCCATAAAAACAACAAAAAGCAATGCAATGAATAATCTTTTCAATCTAGACCCACCAATTATAAATGTTTCAACATTGCTTTATCCTTACCCTACACACACACAGATACACTTAAACTACCTTTACCCCTAAACATCTGAAAGTTTCAAGAGTCAGGATATTTTACCTTTAAAATCTTTAGGAAAAAGTACAAATGGCCAAAAGACACATGTAGAAATGCTTAACATCCCTGGTCATAAAGGAAAGGGAAATCAAAATCATATTAAGAGTTCACCTTCCTCCTATTAGAATAGTTATTATCAAGAACACAAATAATGTTGGTGAGGATGTGGAGAAAAAGGAATTCTTTTTGGTGGTAATGTAAATTAGTAAAACCATTATGGAAAGCAGTACAGAGGCTCCTCAAAAAATGGGATGAAACAATTCGGGTTATAATACACATGTACATGGATGTATCACAATGAAACTCTCTGAATAGTTACCTTATACAAACAAAAATGTCTTTTCTCAAAAATGGAGAACAGGAAGGTAAAACAGGTCCTGTGTGGGAGCTGGCACCAGTGGGAAGGGGAAGGATGTACGGAAAGGGTCTAGGAGGGTGAATATTGTGGAAATATTATGTACTTGTGTACGTGCACTACATTACTATGTCAAAACCCAAACTAGAGTCAGAATTTCAATTAACATATGGGAAAAAGTTTCATATACTATTTAACCAAAGGACCTTTCATAGTTGGTATACTTATAACTTCACTATTACTAGCATAGTGTTTTAGTTTGAAAGTAGAGATTGTAGAAAAAAATCTAAATTAAAAAATTATTTAAATATATTCACATGAACATACTTAATGTGACTGCTACTATAGGAAAAGTTATGGGAACTATTTTATGAGTGTACCCACATTTTGGTAAAATACTACCAAATATATACATGTTTTATAGCTACTATGAAGGAGTATTTAATCGGGTTTCATTTCCCTTCACTAAGAGGTCATTCGTAGGGCTGGGGAAGTGGCAGTGCTTGTTAGGTGTGCACCAGGCCATGAGTTTGAGATCCAGCACCACAAAAAATCATTCTTGTGAGTGCTCTTTCAACTTTTTTGAAGGTAGTTTTGAAAGTATTTTCTCCTTTTCCTTAAAGTAGAGGAAGTGTTCGTATTTACTTTCATGTTTTATGGGTACAGAAATTATTTACAGAAAGAAGTATTGTTTGATTTGAGGTGAAAAATAGAACCCAAAAGAAAATGAAAAGTAGAAGCATCAAGTCACACTCATTTTTGAAATGCTTCACTACAGATTGTCCCAACCTCCAAACTTCCTGGCAACCACTAGATGTGTCAGTCACTGTCTATTTTCATCAATGCATGTCCAGATAAAGCACTACTGGGTGCTAATTTAGCTACTTAATTACTTACTAATTATTTCAGTAAGAAGAGGTTGTGCTGCTTAGTTATAATCTTTACCTCAGACCATTGGACACTTAAAAAACTCCATCCTAGAGGTAAATAAATATATTTGAAAAAAATTAAATCATAAAAACCCAGAGGAAATCTCACCTTACTCATAGCCCTATGAATTTAGTAAGTTTACAATCAGAAATTCAAACCCAGCATTGGTTTTATACTCTAAAAATTTCTTCAAAAATAGTAGGCAGTAAATACTGCTTTTCATTTATTAAAAAAACATGCAATTATTGAGAATTTTATCACATGCAGTGCTAAGGGATATCATGGGGCATACAATGATAAGCAGGAAAAGTTGCTTGTACATTCAGGTATGAGAATAAACACAACCAAGCACCTATTAAATAAATATGGATTAAATGGCAAAAATGGGACAAAGAGGAAAGTTAATAATTAGGTGAATCTCCTTGACATAGGGTTTTCAGAAAGGCTTCTGTGAGGCTATGAGATGTTAGAGATCAGCTGTGCAGCAGAGGAAGAGTGTCTAGTGCAAAGGAAATAGCAAAGGGAGAGCAATATGGAGGATGATAGAAAATGAAGGTAGAGGAGTTTAGAAGAAATCTGAGAATCTGAGGACAGAGGATGGAGACAGGGGATATGTATGGTTAACTTTTTTTTTTTTTTTTGAGATAGGGCCCTGCTATTGAAGGCCAGGGCCAGTTAGGCCTGGACTGAAATCCTCCTGCCTCAGTATCCAGAGTGCTGGGATTACAGATGTGCACCACCATACCCAGCTTGAACGGTTAACTTCGCTATCTGCATAACAGATCAAAGGATTCTAGTTAAGGGAACTGAACTAGGAACAATGGCAAGATGGCAAAGGAGTGATATTGCCCTCCACTTCTGCTTGCAGATATACCCTATTAAACATCAATTCGCTGATGTAACTCCTCACAGAACTGCTAAGATATGAAGGGCTAGCAGCAAAGCATCAACAGTCCACAACTGTGCAGTAACTGTAGTCAAAACAGATTAATGGAATGGTGGTGGGCCCAAAAGCCATAGCAGGCATGCCACAAAAGTGGGCACACTACAGAAGCCTGAGTATTTCACCCATGGAATCTAACTTGCAGAGAAACCAGTAACACCAGTAGAAGTAGAAACACCTACATAAAAACCCCACTGAAACAAAAGATACAGTCCCCTTGGTTCAACAGACATGGCTACTATCCACAGTAACATCTGAGAAACTGATGGCATGCATCTTAGCAGTGGGACAGAAGAACAGTTCAGTGGCTTCCAACATGGGAAAGGACCACCACTGCATCATGAAACAGACCATATGTTCTTTGGAGTCTTGGGAGGAGAACTACAAGTTTTGTGGGAACTGTGGAAGACTTGGGGTCTGAGGGTCCAGACTATGGAGCCAAACACATCCAGTCTACTGAAAAGAAAATACATCACAACTCAGTCTTATATAATCTTTGAGAAATACCTAACACAGATGATGTAAAGCTCC